TCTCCCTCCCTCTCTCTCCCCTTTTCCCCCCTGGCTGCCCTCTTCCTCTTCTCAGAATCCGGAACCGCTGTTGGCCGAGTGTACCCACGGGGAGATGATTCCTCATGAAGAGCCTGGATCCCCTACAGAAATCAAATGTGACTTTCCGTTTATCAGACTAAAATCAGAGCCAGCCAGACAGTGAAACGGTCACCGTGGAGGGGGGACGGCGAAAAATGAAATCCAACCAAGAGCGGAGCAACGAATGCCTGCCTCCCAAGAAGCGCGAGATCCCCGCCACCAGCCGGCCCTCCGAGGACAAGGCCACCACCGCCCTGCCCAGCGACAACCACCGGGCAGAGGGCGTGGCATGGCTCCCCAGCAACTCTGGTGGCCGAGKCCACGGGGGCGGGAGGCACGGGCCCACAGGGACTTCTGTGGAGCTTGGTTTACAACAGGGAATAGGTTTACACAAAGCATTGTCCACCGGGCTGGACTACTCCCCACCCAGCGCTCCCAGGTCGGTCCCCGCAGCCACCACGCTGCCCACGGCGTACCCTCCCCCGCAGTCAGGGACTCCSGTGTCTCCCGTTCAGTACGCCCACCTTCCGCACACCTTCCAGTTCATCGGCTCCTCCCAGTACAGCGGGCCCTATGCCGGCTTCATCCCATCGCAGCTGATCTCCCCATCGGCCAACCCTGTCACCAGTGCAGTGGCCTCCGCCGCGGGGGCCACCACTCCATCCCAGCGCTCCCAACTGGAGGCCTATTCCACCCTGCTGGCCAGCATGGGCAGCCTGAGCCAGGCACCGGGACACAAGGTTGAGCCGCCGCCTCCGCAGCACCTCGGCCGGGCTCCGGGGCTGGTCACCCCGGGGTCCCCCCCACCCACCCAGCAGAACCAGTACGTCCACATTTCCAGCTCTCCGCAGAGCAGCGGGCGCGCGGCCTCTCCTTCGGCCATCCCCGTCCACCTCCACCCGCATCAGACRATGATCCCGCACACGCTCACCCTGGGGCCCCCCTCGCAGGTGGTCGTGCAGTACACCGACTCCGGCGGCCACTTCGTTCCCCGGGAGTCCACCAAGAAAGCCGAGAGCAGCAGGCTGCAGCAGGCCATGCAGGCCAAGGAGGTCCTGAACGGGGAGATGGAGAAGAGTCGGCGGTACGGGGCTCCGTCTTCGGCCGAGCTGGGCCTGGGCAAGGCGGGCAGCAAGGCGGTCCCTCACCCGTACGAGTCCAGGCACGTGGTGGTCCACCCGAGCCCTGCGGACTACAGCAGTCGAGATCCCTCGGGGGTCCGGGCCTCGGTGATGGTCCTGCCCAACAGCAGCACGCCCGCAGCTGACCTGGAGGTGCAGCAGGCCACGCACCGGGAGGCCTCCCCGTCCACCCTCAACGACAAAAGCGGCCTGCACTTAGGGAAGCCCAGCCACCGGTCCTATGCGCTGTCACCCCACACGGTCATCCAGACCACGCACAGTGCTTCAGAGCCTCTCCCTGTTGGGCTGCCCGCCACCGCCTTCTACGCGGGGACTCAACCCCCGGTCATCGGCTACCTGAGCGGCCAGCAGCAAGCAATCACCTACGCCGGCAGCCTGCCCCAGCACCTGGTGATCCCCGGCACCCAGCCCCTGCTCATCCCSGTGGGCAGCACTGACATGGAGGCGTCCGGGGCAGCCTCTGCCATAGTCACGTCGTCGCCCCAGTTCGCTGCAGTGCCTCACACGTTCGTCACCACCGCCCTGGCCAAGAACGAGAACTTCAACCCCGAGGCCCTGGCCACCCAGGCCGCCTACCCAGCCATGGTGCAGGCCCAGATCCACCTGCCCGTGGTGCAGTCGGTGGCCTCGCCCGCCGCGGCGCCTCCCACGCTGCCGCCCTACTTCATGAAAGGCTCCATCATMCAGTTGGCCAACGGAGAGCTCAAGAAGGTGGAGGACTTGAAAACGGAAGACTTCATCCAGAGCGCAGAGATCAGCAACGACCTCAAGATCGACTCCAGCACAGTGGAGCGCATCGAGGAGAGCCACAGCCCAGGCGTTGCCGTGATCCAGTTCGCCGTCGGGGAGCACCGAGCACAGGTAAGGCTCGCCGGGGTTCCACAGGTAGAGGGACCCCTGCCACACTGCCGCCATCACCCCGCCAGCCGAATTGCTTCTGCCAAGCAGGATTAAGGGGTCTCCCCAGTTCCTAGACMTTAGACTTGGCCTATCCCCACTGTATTAAGACAATTTAAGCCCTAATTTTCCATGAGGGCTCCTCTTTGTAACAGACTAATCTCCATGCATCCAGAATGGGACTAGTTATATGCCATCCTTGGGACAATTAAGAAGACCGCCACTCTATCTCACACTACAGTTATGTGAGACATTGCCGCTGAGGGAAACTGGGCTAAGAGGATATGGTCTCTCTGCATTGTTTTTGGAACTTCATGTGAATCTACACTTATCTCAAAAATCAAAGTTGATTTTAAAAGATTTGATAGGTATAAAATAGTTATTTTTTTTAAAATATATTTATTTTTTAGTTGTAGGTAGACACAGTATCTTTATTTCATTTTTATGTGGTGCTGAGGCTTGAACCCAGGGCCTCACGGGTGCTAGGTGAGCGCCCTACCACTGAGCCACAACCCCAGCCCTAAAATAGTTATTTTTAAGTTAAAAAAAAAAAATTACCACTCCAGTTTTTTGTTGTTGTTGTTGTTGTTGTTGTTGTTTTTTATGGTTGGAATGAGGAACCCAGATTGAGAAAGACTGACTGGCTCAGGCACTGGTAATAATCATCAAAAAAGACAGGCTGATGTGGGGGGAAGAGGACCTTGAAGGCTAAAGTCACTGCCTACCATTCCAGCATCCAGGTTTTAAAATATAGATTTTAATATTATATAGGTATGGCAAGGCTGGCAGATCAGGAGATGACTTGTTGAAAATATAGTTTTGCTAGCACTCCCAGATGCTAACTAAGAACAGGGAACACACCACATCATGGAGATGGGGCGGGGGTTGTCTAGAGGCACCTGTGTCTCCMGGCAAAGAAAGCAGGGAGAACCTGGTCAAGAGCCCTAATTGTGACTCCCATCGGAAGCCATGGGCGAGGCAGGGTGAACAGGCTTAGGGTGGGTCGGTGTGAATAATTTTGGTGGATTCTGGCATAGGATCTGTCCTGGTTATCTGGGAGCCAGCCTTGTGGTGACTATTGAAGGCAGACAGAGGCCTTGAACCAACATAGGAGGTGATGGGAGTGTGGGCTTTGCATTGATTGGTATGCGTAAGAAAGGTGCGCTCTCAGGTGAGTTGTTTTCCATCTCTAGGAATTAGCTAGTCCTAGGAGAGATGGATCCTGCCAGCAAGACCCTAAGATGTCAGAGCATCAGAAAGTGAAAGGTATTGTTAATACAGTCTGAGAAGTTAGAAYTGTCCCTGGTGCCCTCCTGGGCTAGTGGAAAAGTCAGGTGCAACCTAAYCCAAGGCATGCCAAACACTGGGGGTGTGATGAACGCTGCATTTCCAAGGGCTCCTTCACTCTGCCCTTTCCAGGGGGCATTTGTTCCACCACCTACTGTTTATATGAGCAGCAGGTTCAAGCCCAAGTTCACAGGCTTGTCCTCAGCTGGGTGCTTCCCTGGCTGTGGGGCCCTCCCTCTCTGGATATGTTCTCTAAGGACCTAAAAACACTCAAATGTGGCAGAGCCCACGCCAGGTGTGAGATGAAAATGGCCACAGGATAACTGATAGATTGATTTGTTTTTTATTTTCTTTGAATATCCCAACTAACAGTTTKAATTGCTTAGAGCACCTTTGAAAGATCAAATAAAGATCATTTCCCAAAATGTTTTCAGAACTGCTCATGAATGACCAGGGGCCCTGAGATACTTTTTTATGCTGAGATGTCACTGTAGGTTGACAAGTCATTGGTGAAACCCAAGAAAGATTTCTCAAAAGTTCTGATTTTTTTTTTAAAAAAGCCAAATATCAAGATTGTTTTAAAATGGCATAATTCTTCAGAACTCACTAACCATCTGTAGTTGCTGCTCAGAACTTTGCAAAATTAATGCTTCTATGATTAAAAAAAAAAAAAAAAACAAAACTACCTTCCATGTAAAGTTGAAGCTCTGCTTTCTTTTCTTTCCCATGACCTGATCACTGAGTCTCTTTGCTGACAGCCAAGGTGCAGATCAGCAGGTAGGCTTGTCAGGGATCATCCACAGTCTGCAGGGCAGCCCCCGTGCTGCTGTGCTACATGCCAGAGAGGGATTCTGGAAAGCAAGGCCAGAGAAYTATGGTCTGCTAAAGAGGAGGCTTGGCTTCAGGCCTTGGGAAAAAAGTGCAAGGCCCAGGCACTGCCGGCCCAGCCACGTGTCATCTTCTCCAGCAGCCTATCAGAGACGGGCTGACGTCATCGGAGCTCAAACACTCCGCCAGCTGTGTCTGCCATGAGGAGCAGGTTCAGCTTCCGAGTARGAGACGGGAAAGGCGAGAAGGGACKGGACAGGGAACTGACGTCCTGACGTCCCACCTCGGGGAGGTTCCCAGGGCTTCAGGCTGCATCTCCCCAAGGGCTTTTCTCCCTAGCCTGAGGGATGYCCAGGTCTTCTCAACAGGGCTCACACACCCCCAGGGAAATGTAGATGTGCACATTGAATGTCAGGAAGCTGTGGAAGAAGACGTTGTTYTCTACAGGACACGTGGCTTTGTGATCCCAGCCACAAGCATTAATGGAAAGTCGAAAGGATGCCCAGCCTCTGAAAACCAGGGTCCTTCCCAGAGAGGGCATGTGGTGTGGCGAGGCAGGCAGAGCACCAGGAGCGAGGCMGGAGGTTTGTGTGGACCGGCGGCTTCACCTCTCCCAGCGGCAACTGCTCCCATCTCTACAAAAGGAAAGTGATTCCTTACTAAGATGATCTCTTGGGGCCAGGACTAGTGGCACATGATGAGTGGCTATTAATTTATTTTTTTTTTTTTTGTACTGGGGATTGAACCCAGGGGTGCTTAACCCCTAAGCCATATCCCCGGGCCATTTTTGTATTTTATTTGGAGACAGCGTCTCCCTGAGTTACTTAGGGCCTCTCCAAATTGCTGAGGCTGGCTTTGAACTCACGATCCTCCTGCCTCAGCCTCTTGAGCCTCTGGGATTACAGGCATATGCCACTACGCCCAGCTTGGCTATTACTTTTAAGGAACTGAATTCCTAATTGCTCCTGTGGCAAGATGTCTCTAGCATCATCTCTGGCTGATGCTCTAACAAGGCAGCAAAGGAGAACCATGTTTTCACATACCTGTCGCTGGTGCCTGTGACTTCACAGTACCTAGCACACTACTGCCATGCACAGACGAGGCATCTTTGTGTTTACAGTCCCTCTGGCCTGATGCTATGGAAGAAGTAAAGGAGCTTCGGGTGTTCTTTGTCACTGTGTGTACCCAGTGAGCCTCCATCAGCTGGGGGACAGGTGACACATGCCACCACAGGTGGGACAGAGTTGCTCCACCTGCCATCCCTTGGTTATGCTTGAGAGCCCCATGGGACAACAGATTGCTTCCCTTGGGCCTCACTCCCAAATATAACCTGCTCGGTATTCTCCAAACGTGAGGACCTGTCTGTGGCGAGTCCTAGGCGGGACTCCCAGGCTGTGGCGTCCGTGAGGGCACTACAACATGTTCTTGGGTAGGAAGCAAGTTAGCTGCTGAGAAAATCTGCAGGACTGTCTCCACTGGGACTCACTGCAACATGAGTTTCCCTTTCCTGCTTCAACTCAGGGGCTGTTGGCCCTGAATAGAGAGTTTTGCTTGTGAGAAGTAAATATAAGACCTTGTACTCTGAACAGAGTTCATGGAAGGAGAGACAATCTCTGGAAGCCTAGTAAGATGGCTGAACTTTGCCAGCAAATACCTTAAGGTACTTTTCCCTGCCTGAATCCTCTTAGTGCCTTCCATGCATGACCAAGGAGACCTGGAATTCCCGTTTCTGCCAGGCCTGCTGAAGGACTACCTGCCATCCTGTGTGAGCATACGGGATGTGCTTTCCTGAGCATGATTTGGACGTCAGGGATGGATCCACAAGAGCACCGCGCAGATATAAGGGGCTTGCCAGTTCCACTTTTGCAGAGATTGTTAGCCATGTGCCCACTGGGAGAGCCCTAGCCCAGGACAGCCCCAGCCAGCAAACAGAGTTCCATCTTACGATCACCCTGCCCGCTCTGTCTCATGCTCCCTGGGTTCCGCTCTTCTGAAGAGTACCCGGGATTCGCTCCATGGACTTGTAGTAAAATTGATTTGTAAAGCACTCTGGGCTGACACTTCTCTTTGGCCGATGATTTCCTAAACACCRAGCTCCATGTGTCATTAGAGCTGTCTCTCACTTCCTGGATCCTGCCGAGGTGACTGCTTCCCTTGCCTCCTTGGTGGCTGCTTAATATTCAGTGCCATTTTCTTGCCCTGCCTGTCCTGGTGTGGGCGTGTGTGCCCGCTCCTGCAGCGTGTTATAATGATGTGCTTACCCCACGTCTACCGGTGGCTTTGCTTTCATTCCACTATTTTTTAGTTTGACTGCTGGGGCTCTGAGTCATGGTGGCAGCGTTATGCATTGAATGGATTAGCTGCAGCCTAAAAATAGCAAGGCACTCATGCGAGCAGCAAATAAGCCCAGAGAGTCGTCTCTCAGCAGCCAAGGCAACCTCCTTGCCAACATTTACCATGCAGGGCTTGGCGGAAACAAATCCTAATACATCAAAAAATAGATATTTGGTCACTGCCCTGAATGCTGGGCCTCTGCCCCAATCTTAGTCATAAAAGGTCATAAAAGTCCTATCAGTTCTAATAATGAAAAGAGAATCAATCTCTCTCTCTCTCTCTCTCTCTCTCTCTCTCTCTCTCTCTCTCTCTCACTCACACACACACACACACACACACACACACACACA